CTGGAGAAAGATTTGGAACACTCATTTTTGGCAAGTTCTTACCCATAAACTGCAGATTATTCCTCATTGTGGCTTAAAAAAAAAAAAAAAAAAAAAAGAGAAAAATCCTTTATATCAAGTAGTGTGTCACTTCCTCTCAATATACTCTTGATACTAATGTTTTTAAATGGAGCTTCTGCATCTGCATGCTACGACTTGTAGTACACAAAATGTCTTCCAGTGGAAAAAGTGATTCACTCACAGAGGTCGGTGGCGCAGACTCAAACTGGTTGTAGAAAGCACAGGGGGAACAAGCTGCCCAATGGAAACTACTGGTTCGCAAGTTCTAACTTACACTGCCTCATGGTAAATTACTCCTTTTTCAAAAGGCTCTAATGTGAGTTAAGAGTGCTCCTTTTTGGTTTCTTTCAGACTCGTACAAGCATTCAGCATCACAGGGTTCCTATTTAAAGAATAGATTGTTAACTGGTTGAAAATGAAGTATTTATAAAATCACACTGATATTATCATCTAATGGATGTATGTACCATATCATTGCCTACGTATTGTCTTTCTGAATTGCTGTTAATTATCTTGTTCCATGCAGTTGCCCACACCTGCTAGTTGCCCAAATGTGCTGTTCATTGTAGAAATCATGAACTTAAGCATAAAATATTCTGTGACTTCTTAGAAGTACAGAATATTAGGATAGATATATAAAAAATTCAACATAAAAAGATCTAGATTCATTAAAATTGATATAAGCTGTTTATACTTTTAAAGTATGTTAATATCTCTTTTGTATTTGATATGCTAGGATGTCCATCCAGGGTGTATGGGATATTATATCTATTCATGCTTTTAAACTGATATCTGACATCTCAAGATGACATGTAAAATTTTATGGTACAAGAGATGCTGTTATTATGTCAGTTTGTTGAGGATGATAGCAATTATAGAATTCTCCATAGCTGTTCTGTTCTGGCATGCCTCATGCATGGCCTGCTAAAATGAGTACAATGTAGGTTCCCTAAGGGAGCCTACTAAAAAGCTGGAGGGGGACTCTTATCAGGGAGTGTAGTAACAAGACAAAGGATAACAGATTTCAATTGAAAGAGAGTAGATATAAATTAGGTGCAAGGAAGAAATTTTTTAATCAGAGAATGATGAGACACTGGCACAGGCTGTCTGGGGAAGCTGTGGCTGCCCCATCAATAAATGTGTTCAAGGCAAAGTTGGATGGGGCCCTGGGCAGTCTGGTCTGGTGGGGGGCAACCAAGGGGTTGGAACTAGATAATCTGTAAGGTCCCTTCCAACCCAAATCATGTTGTGATTCTGTATTTTGAGTTAACTGGGAAGCAGCCTGCCAAGAACTTACAGCTCTATTTTCAGTACAATAGGAGAACAAAATACTGCAAGATAAGAAAATATGATGGTAATAAGGCATCCTATGATGAAAAATAAGTGCCGAGAATGTTTGGTATCCTGCCTTCAGAACTATAAGCTTTTTGAATTCCTTTAGTCTTTCAGTGCTTGAAAGAAGACTGAACTGTCACTGACCCTGGGAGCAAGGTCTGAGGAGATGTTTTGCTTAATCTTGATAAGTACTGCTATATACTTTGTAGGAGCTGGTCAGAGATTTACATAAACAGCATCTGGGTCTATTAGCTTCACTATTAAAAGCACAGGGCTTTTTGTTAATTAGCTGCTTTGGAGAACGTCTTTGTTCTATGACATGCAAAATTAAAAAAGCGAACAGAATACGTAGCCTTCTCTAATAGAGAAATTTCATACAATTAAGACGTTTTAAAAGCACGTTGTAAGGGCTTCCTAAATTTTTAATGACTAATGGAAACTCTCTCTTTTTTTTTTTTTTTTTTTCAGTTTGGATGAGGGCAACTGAAGCCTTTCCCCAGAAGGCCTTTCTTTTAAAGCAGTTTCTTTATAAATTCCTCCTGTGTCTTGGTATTATGTAAGCTAATGAGTCCCTTGACTATAATAAATATTGGTTAGCTGACCTTTTTAAACAACAGTTTAAATAGTTTGGTTTCAACCCAAGGCTATTTGTAAATTGCTTTTATTTATTACTCACATTGAGTCAAATCATTTTTCCATAAAAATGAGATCATTAAGATCTGACATTAGGCTGAGAAATAAAGATATTAGATTCGTTACTCGTCACGCAATGGCAGTGTAGCCCCAGTAACGTACATAAGTGCTAAAATTGTAGTGTGTATATTCTAAGGATATTTGTAAGATTCTGAATCTTTGCCCATTTATCTTTTTACAATTTGAGACCTCTATTTCAAAATTCAAGCTCTTTATTTAAAAAAAAAAAAAAGAAAAGAAAAAAAAAGAAAAAAGGAAAAAAAAAACAACAATAGAGTCCTAAGACAACGGTAAAGCAAAACACTAGGAACTCTTACCAGAATGCCTTCTTAATGTCATAAATATAGTTCACTCTTTGTGGTTGGTTGGTTGGTTTGGTTTTGTTGATTTATTTAGGGTTAGGTGGCAACAATGCCAGAAAGGATCTGGCATTTCTGATAAAGAAGGAAAACATGAGTCAGGGAATCTGGCCTTGTATTAACATTCTGGAAGAAGTCCTGGAGAAGGCTACCAGGATGGTCAGAGAATGAACACGTGAAGTGTAAGGAGAGGTTGAGGGAGCTGACTTTTTTTTTTTTTTTTCAGCCTTTACGAGAAAGCTGAAGGGTGACTTTGTTACTTTCTGTAGCTATCTGATGGGAGATTTTGGAGAAGACAGAGGCAGACTTTTATTGGAGGTACATAGCAATTAATAAGAGGCAAAGCCATTTGCAAGAAGGGGAATTGTTATTAGGAAACAAATATTGTCAGAGTAGTTAAATAATATAAATGATTGGCTAGAGAATAAGTGGAATCTCTGTTCTTTAGGATAATCAGAATGCAACTAGTCAAGGTCCTGAATAAACTGCTTTCAATGGGGAGTTGAATCAAATGTGCTCTGGAGGTCCCTTCCATCCTAAATTATCCCATGAACCTTGGAGGAGAAAAGGGAAGAACAAAAGGTTTTAATACAAAAAAAAAATTCTGATTGCTCTGATGAAAATGGATTGCTTGTTGTGATGTTAAAACTCATCCATGGAAGAATTTAGATTTTTTTTTTTTTTTTTTTGCAGAACATGCTTTGGAATAAAATGACTTTCTTTGTTCTGAAAAAGTTGCATGTATGACTTTCCACCTGTGTTAGACAAGAAAAAAATATTTATCTTTGTATTGTATTGCCTGCCTCCTCTACAGACGAACATCTGTTCCATGGGAGTTACTACGTTACTGTTTTTTCATTAATCTTCATCTTCCAGTGGTGGGGAAAAAAGAAAGCTAACAACTTCAGGAAAAGCTAAAAAAAAAAAAAATATATATATATGTATATAGGATCTCAGTTGTTTTTCTCACTGTAGTCTTTCACTTTAAGGAGGAAAGTTATCCTTGCGAACTAGGAGAAGGGGAAAGATTTTGAGGTCAAAGATTGCTCAGTATTAGCAGGCCTTAGACTTCCTGTGATTTATGAAAAAATATTCTCAAATGCAAAATCTAGCCTTGAGCTTACTGACTATAGTAAAAACTAGATCAAACTTTTTGAATAGAGTGAATGAGAAATGATTAAGAGACATGGCACATAGAGTTCCCATGAAGTAGAAAAAAGGACATGAGTTTAGAATCTTGAGTTGTGGACAAAGGAAGGAATCAGAATTTGAGGATGATTTACTTTGGTTATTGGACAGATGAGTTTATATACCTGTAATTAAAATATTAGAATTGAATATTTTGCTTCTTATCTCCCACTATAAACTCATACTCAGGAAGGGAGAGAACAGTAACTCCCTTCACCTCTACTATTTTTAAGGAATGTGAAAATCAAGTGTACTTAATGTCAGAGCCCAAGTGTGTTGAATAACTCTATTAAAAATGTTTTATTTCATTTTTCTTTGGGCCTTTTTTATGATTGTTTTTTTTTTCCAGATGCTTCCATTCAAAATAAATATCAATGAATTTTGCTTTGGGCAGTCAGAAATCACTAATGTGTTGTTATAGCAGCTGTCAGATTACTACCTGTTTTCAACCAAATTCCCTATCTTCTTGTGTTTCTTAAAAGCATCTAATCCCAAGCAGCACTGAATATTTTTGATTTCTGATGAAGCACTCAGCACTGTGGAAATCAACCTCCTAAAGAGATCTGTAGGCCATTAAAAATGTACCTTCAAAATGTCAACTATAAACACATTAGTGGCATGAACAATTAAAGTCTTGTACCCATTCGTATTACAGAACATGAAGCAAACCTAGGAAGATCACATCTGAGGATGACTACTCTGGGTTAGGATGTGTTTTTCTTTACTACTTATTTCTGCTTCTTTGAATGCCATAATTTGTTTCCTCATTGGGTGGCTGACTCTGACTAACTGCTGTCAGACATATGCTCTTTTCCCTGCCACTTTCTTCTTCTTGTTCCACAGGCATCTGAATGAGTTGCATGCCAGAAGCTTATTGTGAGCTGGAAAGAGCATGAAAGTGTCCTTTCTGGCTTTATTTCAATATCTTAGCCAGATCCTGATGTTGGGTGGAACCTGGAAAGTATTCACATAGAAAAACAATTAAGAAAATACCATGAACAGTATTAATTTGATTTTATTTTCTTAATGTGAATTTATCTGACTCATTTGATCAGTGTTTATTTCAAAGACTCAAATACTTTTTTTTCTTAAACTAAATAATGAAAATATTCCACTTGCCTTTTTTTTTTTTTTTTTTTTTGTAAGCAAGCTGGAAGTTAAAACTTCTTAATTCCTTAAATTCAGTAGAAGGAAATTGGTTTTGGAGTAATGAAACTGGTTCTGTGTTGTAAATACTGTTGCTTCTTGCTGCTTATAATATAGATTGGTTTTTTTTTATAACCAAAAAAATACTAACAATAATTATTCTATAAGAATAAGTTCGTCTTAGGCTTTAATAAATGCCTTATATACTTATTGTTACAGGTAAATTGATAGTTCCAAGACAAATCAAACAGCTCTGACTATGATCAATCAGAAATAGATAAATAATGCACGTGGATAATTCTTTCCTAGCTGGAGAACTGAAGGTTGAATGTTGTTTAAGGAGATTCCTCTTCAAACAGGAGCAGTTTGATTGAGTAATGCTTCAGTTATGGGGTAAGAACGTTAATAAAAATGTGAATAGATTAATTAGTTCTAACACTTACAACTGTATTTGGAACTACTGCAGTATGTACCTTTTCATTCTTTATATTTGTTATGAAAAGCAGGCTTGCTTTTCATAAAATTCCTCATAAAATTGCAGTGCACAAACAAGGAACTCAAAAGCTAAAGGCAGACTTTAATGTCAGTCTTCATGTCAGATAAGAATTTATGATCATGGCCCCACTCATCATCAAGATTATGGCTGGTGACCAAGTGAACTAGAAACAGTCTTTTCAGGAGTGAGAATGTTAGGTTTAATGTCTATTGCTTTTTCCCAGAAAACAGTGAAGTCTCTCTAGAAAAAATAAGCCTGCATCATATTCAGGCAAGTATGTTGCAGAAGCACAAAGTCCAAGTATGAGCTCATCGCATCTTGTGGGATTGTTTTAGCATATATCTGCTGATTGATACTTGGGGGAAAAAAAAAAAGCCTTTGATGATGCTGGAAGGAGGGTCAAACTTGAAACCTTCTTAAAACTTGGAGTTAGATTAAGTGAATTTGCAGAATAATTTTATTCTTGCTTTGTTTGGCTGTTGCTTCCTTATTTTGGGTTTTCTGATATATCATGCCCATCATCTTCCTGGCTGAGTTTTTTCTGGGTGGGTCAGAGAGTAAATAGAATAATGCATCAAAACCGTCTGTTCAGTATTTAACATCCCCAAACTAAGGCAAAACTGAGTTGTTATTACACAAGAAGACAGAAGATATAGCACTTCAGCTATCAGTTATTCTGGCATTAACTGAGGAGAATGCGTTGGGAATGCTGTTGCAAACAGTTTTAGCCACTTTTTACTGAGACTGATAGCATGCTGCTGATGGAGAAGGATTTAAATGTAGATGTTATGCTGGTAAACTTTTCAGATTTCTTCTAATTTATACTGTAGAGAAAGAGAAGGGGGGGAGGGAAGTAAATTTTGTGAATGGTGAGGGGCAGGTTGATGTCAACAAGCCTGGATCAGTGCTGATGAATAGTTGTAAATGAAGTTATTAAGTTGTTTTGGAAAGATTTTCTTGTTCCACAGTGACTCTAATGAAAGCAAGGATTAAACCATTTGTTTTTACATTTTCCCAGGAAACCTATTTATTCCAGTCTCCCTTCTTCAAGTTGATGAAAAAGTTTCTAGAATTGTTTTTTCACTGTCCTCATTATTTGCATGGAATATCATATTACTTTACAAGTGATATGGGGGAATAGTGATTAAATGACAAGATAAAATTTAGTGAGTCAGATATAATTTGTAAAATTATTGTCCAGAATGACTTTTGTCTGTGTATGAATGTCCTCAATTTACCAAAATTGGTCCTTGTACAGCATGTGGGTACTTACTGTACCTTCTAATGCCTGAAACCATTCCTCTACCTGCCTCCTCCTCCTTCCCCTTCCTTTCCCCTCCCCCCCAAAAAAACCAAACCAAACACCCCAAAAAACCCCCACAGAAATCAAGAATGCTCCAAAACTTTTCACTGCAATTGCAACTGCTTCAAGGGAGAAGATAGATATCTATGTCCCTCAGTTCTGTGTCATGCTGCTTTGGGTATGCTGTTCTTATTCTAATCCTAGTGAATGAAACCAAAAAAGGGCGCTCTTATGATTAAGAGCTAGGCAGGATCTTGAAGGAAATGGATTTACTGCATCATTCCATGTAACCTGGAGCAGGGCTCTGTGGACAGATGTTCAGAGGTGCCTACCTGAATGGGAGGTAGTTGTCTGACAGGATGGAGAGTTCATGCTTTTCTCTTCTACCACAGCTATTGCTTCTACTTTGTTGGAGAATACACCTCATCTTAGGCATGTGCCTCTTCTACATGTTTCCTTGTATCTAGCCTTGCATTATCTGTTGGCTCCTTATAAATTGATTTTTTCGTATTAAAGTACTCAGCTTTATGCAGGAATGTGGCCCCACTCTCTTGTAACTAGTGAATAATGTAATGCAAATAATTATCATTTAACATAGTGAAATTAAAAGATACATTTGACAAGATTAATGCAGAGGATAAATTACTATATTATTCCTGTCTCCTCAGTGAATAAATTGCATCATTTTTAATATGCATGATTATGTAGTTTGAACTAATGATGATACACTAGTGAATTATATATCGGTACTACAGTAATATCACAGAATATGATAGAACCATAGTTCTATCATAGTTCACAGTACCACAGAATATCATATTGTATATGATATGAGAGTAACATCATAGAATATTGGGGCTTTAATTCAGTACCTGTGTATTAGCACGGTATTTACAATGTCTTGGTTTCTAGAGCTTGGGCTGGGAAGTCTTTGACTTCAGAGTTGGCCCAGCTTCCAGATTTTCCTTGAAATAATTTGCTTGTAAAAGCATGGCAGCTTCTGTTGGATCATTCATACTATTAGAGATACAATTTGTGGATGCGCATCACTGAGCTGTTGTTGAATCATTGGAAATTTGGAAAAGGTTTTTTTCTTTCAGCTCAGATCCAAAACTATTGGAGTTAAAGCGATCTTTTTATTGGAATAGAATTGCATATAAGACACTCATCTATCCAACAGTGCAGTAAAACTATATGTTTAAAAAATTAATTTCAGCGATTTGTGTTTCAAAAATTTTAAATCTCCATCCAGAAAACCAGTGTTCAGCTGTAGTACAAGAGCAACTTGCCAAGTTATCAGCTGAAGCAGGAGGTTCCAATTTGCAGAGCTTTGGGGGCTCCTGGCGGAGAGGACAACTGCTATGTACATGTTGACAAGTACAAGATAAGCAAGCTTCCCACCTGCTGCAATCTTGTCAGTTTGATTACCCTTCAGTGGCCATTTGTGATAGCCACTTGGGAAGTCAGTACTGAGGATACAAGTTTAAGTCAGATTCTGCTAGTTATCAAGTAATTGCACATTTTGGCAGAAAAAGTAGGGCCTGGTTTAAGAGGGGTGAAAGTTACCACAGCTGTAAAATTCAAAATAAACATTTATCTGTAATTCTGTTTCTAAACCTATAGCCAGCAAAGTTCTAAAACTAAAATACCTCTTTTCAAAAGGAGTCAAAGCTTCTAAAGTTAGATCATTTGTCTAAACATAATTAAAAGCAAGGTCTCTTGCTATCTGCTTTAATATATATAAATATGCTCACAAGGATGTGTATCGTAGGTTTAAAAATGCAAACTTCTATTAACAGAACATCATTTCTCATTAGTGTAAGGTGAGATAGAGACTCTGTGACATTTTGAGAATCTTTTTCCTGTAGCGATTAAGCTATATGAGGAAATGCTACGTATTTGGTAGAGTGGTTATAATTTTCTACTTTGAATATAAAGTTTTGATATTGTTATGCTAGGAGAAAGCAATCAAATTGCTTTTTGATACATTGATACTGTAGAATTTTTCCATTGAGAATGACTTTTTATTCATGTTGCTTAAATATTTTTTAATTCTCTGCCTTTTGAAATTACTTCTGTTATTTTCAGTTCAAATTTCCAAGATTTTACTGTAAATGTTTGAAATGATCTTTTTTAATATCAAACATTATAATACCTTTACTAGTTAGCTCTCTCAATTTTTTGGTGTAAATTACCCTCAAATTATTCTTATTTCTCAAACTTGAATTTCTTTAACCCTATTTTTCTAATAGCGCAACTGTGAACGGCAGGGAATAACAAGGTGTTAACAGCTGTGACTTTATACATAATTAACAGCACAGAACCATAACTTTGGTCTGTGATGTGATGTAACTTTAAGTCCTGTTGCTGTCAGAGGAGGCTTTGGAGACTGAACTCTATCTGGTTTATTTATTCTTAAGTTTGTTTTGATTTATATAATGCTTAATGCAGTAGGGCCATGATCTGAAATGGGCCTTCCAGGCATTCTTACGGTACAGATTTGTATAACATTAACTCTCTTATGTAGTACATTCTTCTTCCAAGAAGCTGCTACTGGCTTTATGAATTATTTTTTCTTCAAATGTACTGAACTAGTTTACCATCCTCTTCTTCCCCTACGTATTTTAATTCACTATTGACCTTGCCTAGGTCACTTTTAAATTATTTCTCTGTTGTTAGTGGGGTTTAGAACCTGTTCCGGATTAATATAGTCTTCAGTGTTTTTCTTCTTGACGTTAGCAATTTAAAAGACAAGTAGATTGCTAAATACACAATTGAGACATAAAACATTGTTATGTAGTGTGATACCTTCTGCGATCGTGGATTTGCTTTTTGTTTTCCTTTTCTTCTGTTTCCTTGGAGACTGCTGATTACAGACTTGATTAAGTTGTCTCATTGGCTGACAATTATCTACCAGAGATTAACCTTACTCCCTTTATGTGGAAGAAGGTATGTTGTAGCAATGCCTGTGTGGTCTGTACCATGCGAGCTATATAGGGTAATATTTATTTTTGCATGGTTATAGAGAAAATTGCTTTTAATAGTCAACACAGTCAATGAGTCTTTGTCATTTACTATAAACCATAATTCAGCATACCAAGAAGATATTGCTTTTGAAGTATCTGAAATTGAGAAACTTTGGGACAGTGTAACAATCCACTTGTTATCTTCTTGTACTGTTTTTTCCAGTTTTGGAGGAAGTATACTCTGCTCTATGGAGTGTTGATGTGACTGTATATGGAATCATAGAACTGTTTGATTTGGAGGAGACGGTGAAGAGGCTGTCTAGTCCAACTCATATGCAATGAACAGGGACACCTGCAGCTCCATTAGGTGCACAGAGACCCTCCAGCCTTTATTTTGGAATCCGGGGAGTGAGGCATGCACCACCTCTCTTGGCAACATGTTCCAGTGCCTTACCACTCTCATTGTAAAAAAACAAAAAACCTACTTCTTTATTTCCTTTCTAAATCTCCCTGTTTCAGTGTGAAGCCATTTCCCCTTGTCCTGTCACAACAGACCCTGCTAAAGAGTCTCTCCCCTTCCTTCTTACAGGCTCCCTTTAGATACTGAAAGGCTGCTCTCAGGTCTCCC